TCTGCTTTTATCTCACAGGATGGTTTTAATCTGAATTTGGAGATTTTGCACCTTTAAAGCACTAGTGGCTATTTTTAGCTTTTGATTAAATCAACAGTGACAAAATCTGGCTGACAAGCAGTTTTTCAGTCCAGATTTCTCTTTCATGCAGACCTTTCTCCACAGTAATTGCTTAGAGTTTTATCCCTGAAGCTGGTGAGATGAAGACTTAGATGCACAGTATATGGTTTTCCACAGTGTTTCAGTAACATTGGGATACTCAGAACAGAGTAAATGCAGGGAAGTAGTGAATGAGAATGACTTTTCAATACTGACTGCTGGACACATGCACTGCTGGACTACAGCTTCCCTGCAGCTCGACTAGGGCAAGGCAGGCAAAAATGCTGTTCCCACACAGCAGTGCTGAAGAGACTCTCTTACACAATTTATAAATGTAAAACTGAAGATGACAAACAAAAATGAGACTATTTGAATGGAGATAAAACAAGAATCACTCCTCTAGCTAGCAAAGAGGAAAAGGTCATTTTACATAATGATTCTGTCTTACTGAGCATCCCTGGTCAGAAGCAACCAAATAACTAGCACTTTTTGCCATTATAGTGGTAACTGTCACCTCTTCGGCTTTATTCTGTTTTACACAGCTGAGCTGACCCGAATGACGCCACCGTCCCTTCCATTGGCTGGGCTGGTGTCAGTTGCTGCCTTAAATGGACACAGAAGAAAGAATTCAGCATCCCGCGATTGAAATTCAGGATTGCTGGGATGCATGTGCATGTGGTGAAGCAATACAAATAAAGACCACCTTTTGTTTTGCTCCAGTGAATCGTCAAAGAGATTTAGAAAGCCAGGGGATCTCATTATGGTAATACAGGTTAAATACTTTAAAAGCATATGGTGTTACCATCCTGAATGAAGCTGTCCCTGCTGGCTCCAAGAAGCAGACAATAGGCCAGAAACACATCTCCTGTCTCTGGTCCACCAATGGGAGCTGGGGATTATAAATCACCACAAGAAAACATTGCCTGCTATCTGGTATCAGGTAATGCCTTGTCTTTTCAATTACTATTTGACTCATCCTTCTCCAGAGAGGAACAAGTTTTAGCCATGTGTTCCACTGGCCAAATGAAAATGGGAGCTCTAGAGTTTCTTACAGTTCATTCTTGTCTCAATAAAAAAGCATTTGTAGAGATGGGTGAATACAGTATGTACAGTATAACTCAATAATATATGTAGAGATGGGGAATGCTTCCACTGAGATGCTTCCTCCCCATGGGGGAAAAAAAAAATCGGTGAAAACCATCAGGCACCAAATAAATACGTTTTGCTTTATCACAAAGCTTTAAAGATGCTTGGATAGGACCAGAAGATTTATTTCCTTTCTCAGCCAAAGGCCCCATCTAATTCACTGCTGACAGATTCTTCTGTGTGCAGTGGAGCTCATTACCACATATTTGCTGATTTTGTCCAGTAGGGAGCAGCCTCAGCATTGACCTTGGTAACTCCAAATGTCAGTTTTCTCCCCATGGGCACTGGAATAATGTGTTGTCTCTTCTTGGAGCCCAAGACAATGACACAGTGTGGTCCACATAGACCCTATTAGTAGCCCAAGCCTGACAGGCATTATCTAGGTTTTCAGAAACATGTCATAGGTTACTGCTATTTCAAGGAGTTTTTTGGATTTGTGGGCATCTGTGCTGCACAGACAGTAGAAAGTCTCAAAGATGCACCAATTTCTTCAGCTGCTCCTTGCAGCTATTTCTGAGGGCAACAGATGAGTTTTAACCAATGACAAAGGAGCCATTCATGAATGTACTGCCTTTAGCTCCTCTCCTTCACCAGTCTGTCAGAAATTGCTGCTTTCAAAGTCGACAGATGACACCTCAGCCACTCCTGGGCCTATCTCTTTGCATTCCAAACCCTAGAGAAAGGTGGATAAATCTAGCAAGTGTGCGAGAGAACAGCAGAAGGTGATAATTTCTTAAATTATCACAGCAAGATTTGGCACAGCAACTTTGTTGAGGCTCTCAATTTTATTTCCTATTTTACTGCCCAAAAAGGGAAATAGGAACACTTGGAGGGAAGGACCAGACACAAGATATAAGATTAGAATCTTCTTCAGCCCCATTGACATTCTGGAGGCGGTCAAAGATGGTTCCTTGTTTGTGTTTCCTGTGCATTTTTCTAATAAACTCCTTTACAATGTATAAACATATAAAAAATAAAATCTTTCCTTTACACACATGTCAGAGAACAAGCAACTTGCTACAAATTTTTCTTTCACAGCTGCCTGAATGACACCAGAAAACCTCAAAATTCCTAACTTCCCTGCCACCTCTATACATTCATAAAGTTCACCCAAGGGGATGGGTAAAACACATATGTATGCCTGCTTTGTCTACAAGACAACCTAGAAGTATTTGTTTGCCTCTATTTTTATTCATAATCTGATGTGTTTCCTTGCAATATCTGCACCTTTTAATTTTCCTTTATTCCACTAACTGTGATGTTATGTGATTATGCTTGTTGACATTTTAACAGCTTGTACTGTTTGCCTCCATCCCTCTAACTCTACTTGCCTCATTTACCTGTTAACCTCATGGCCCTGGAGAGCTACAGCTATCTTTCTTTTTGCTATTCATGCATCTTTTTTTGCTTCACCGAACCTTGTGAATGGAGACTTTAAAAGAATATATCCTAATAAATATATCTTAATGCTGCTATTCTGCTTACTGCAACTCTAGTCTTCTGCTAGAATAACTCTGACTCATAACTCATCCATTTTACTGACTGAACATTCTACTTGCTAGTCACCACTCTGCTGCTTAAAATCACAGCCACCTGCTATTCACCAGCCCTCCCGTTCACATTACCAAAACTGCAGTCTTTTTCCCAACTCCTTTCACTCTTCCACAGTGACTCTTCCTTCCACTTGTTTGGTGGTCTCATCCCTTTAAAGGTTTCCACCCATTCTAACAATTCCTCACACAGATCCAGTTTCCATGTCCACACTTCTTTTGCCTCCCTTGTTATTTCAGCTTCATCTCATGAACCCCCAGCTCTCCACATGGTACAGGAAAGAGGACTTCTGTTTGGTACTAAAACTCTTCCAGGATTATATGCTGCTTCCCATCTCATATCACAAGTCCAATACTACAACAGGGAGTTGATATATTATTGTACTGTAAGCATCTAACACAAAGAAGTCCCAAGCCACAGTGGAAAACTGTAATCAATAATGTATGCATGTCACAACATTTGTTAAGTGGCTTTATATCTTTCTCAATGAAACATGCTAGTCTCTACTAAAGCTGTGGTTGAGCAACCATAACAGTACAGTGATGTACATCAAAGGTACATATGGTTCTCTCTTTCTGTTTACATATTACATTTTTAAAAAGTAATCTGTATCTGCTTAAATAGTTATTCAGTAAGAATGATCAAATGGTTCTCTTGTGCTATTTTGCATGCTCATTTGTAAATGCAAACTTTCTGCTGCATATAGTATAAATCCAAAATTCCATTTGTTTGAGAGCCACAGAAAGGAGATCCTGTACATGAGAATTGAGATTCTGTACATAACTTCCACACAAAAGGTCTTTAGCACAGATGGGCACATTCTAAATTTACTTTAGATGGATGATATGTCACGTTAGAACAGACAAGGTTGAAGAGATGTCTGCAGGGACACAGCCCCAGGAAAAAGTAGGGATTAGCTTGTCAATAAAGATGTAAACAGACTGCTCTGAGGCAGCCTCATTTCTGACATTAGAGAATCTTAAATGGTTTGCTGGCGAAGAGCTTGTGCAAAAATTGGGGCAGCCTGTCAAGACTGAAATTTATTCATTCCAGTTTTTGCAGTAGTCACTGCCTGTCAGGCAAACAGACTCCATAACACTAGAGGGTTAAACAACCAATTAAACATAAACATGCAACAGTAAACCCTAATATAATTAATTAGAGAAAGTTATATCTGATATTGTAACAAGCAGACTTAGCTAAAGATAGACATCAACTACCTTTATATGAGACAGGATCTTCAAATAGGTACATGAGCAACATGGGCATTTATCTCAGCTCCTAGGACTTCCATAACAAGTTGTTCTAATGGACTCAACATATAAAAGCAACCGTGATTTTAAAAAAAAAAAAAAAAGAAAAAAAAAAGACAGACCTTGGGTTTTTGAATGAAATGAATCTGCACTTCGAGTATTTTGTGAAACACTGTGGTATGAAACCATTTAGAGAAGCATCATAAGCAAAGCAATTATATGAGGGAATACACTGGAAGAGTCTGTCAAGAGCTAAATCCCACTGAACAAATACTGGGGGGTTGCATGTGGGCAGAAGAGAATTAATGCCATGATATAACATTACCATTCCCTTACTGTGTTTTGGTAAGCAGCCTCTCTCTCACTTGCCCTTCCCAAGTTCTGTTCTACTCTTAGAATACCAGAAAACATATTGCACACTATTTCACTGCTGAATAATTATGGTTAATAAAGATGTGGTATTGAATGAAAGCCATCCAAGAACAGAAACAGTACTAGTAGATGCAGTGGTATAGATCATATTCATTAACATGAAGCACCTCTTTCTCTGCCAAGGACATTCTTCTGCTATCAAGATACTAAACCTACTAAATAATAGAATGGTTAGAGTTGGAAGAGACCTTAAATCACAGAACAGAATCATAGAATTTCCTGTCCTTGCCCCACAGTTTAACAACAGAACTAGCAAGAGATGTTTTCTCTCTGCTCATCTTACCAGGGGAAAAAATATATCACTCAAAATTAAAGGCAACCTAGTGTTTAATACACTAGCACAAACTTCAGCAATAATTTCAACCTATCAGTGATAATGATCCTTCCCACAAGGCCAGGAACTGACCATGAGACTGCAAAAAAAAAACTATCAGCCCGCACAAGAACATGTGCAGTTGAATTTTACATTTCATTTCTCTACAGATACCTAAAGATACACCTTCCAATAATCATGTCTTACCTGCATTATCAGTTGTGAACATAGGTATTCTTCAATGTTTGCTGTTTGATACACCTTTGCCATAACTATTGTTTTTTCCAAAGGCTCTCATGCTTTCTCCAGTCTCTGGCTGTAATCTTACATTCGGTACAGTAAAAATAGAAGACACTGCAAAAAAAGAATGTCAGTTCAGAAACTTTGTATGTTTTTCCTTTAAAAGAAGCAATGTAAAAATAATTAGTTAATATACATGGCAAATATACACAGCTTTTACATATACCACCTATTTATGCAAGCAAACACTGTACAAATTCTGAATGGCAAGAAGCTGCATGCATTGCAATGGAAGTTGTACAATGCAAACATTCTTAGCTGCATGCACCTTCTAAAAAACCTTTTTTCCAGGTTGTGTGTGTTTACTTGTCCCATACACCACTATATAATTCATATTTTCCACTTTCACATTTCTGCTGAGCATTTAGAAATAAACAACAACATGAGAAAATGGAGGAAAGCTCCGCAGTAATTCAAGTGCCTAACTGAAAGCTGTTAGAGCTAATCTGGAAACTGAACTTCCAACCCAGTTGACATGATGCCTTGCCTTCAAACTAAACCAAGTAAAAAAATAAAAATTGTGACTCTCACATAAACTAATTTTGCACATATTTTTTAAATAAGCCAAATAAAAAATTTATAATGTAAAATATTGCACAGAATACAAATACATAGTACTCAAGTGAAAACCAGAATAGAAAGTGAAATGCTTCATTTTTACTTTTTCAGTATAGGCAGAGTCACCATACTTTTGTGATTCCAAGAAAACAATATTCTGATCATTTGACTGATTCCTTTCGCCCTCAGCCTTTCTCCTCACCTGTGAGTATTTCCTTGGTTTTTAGTGCTAAATCCCCAAATTTGCAATTCAGCACTAGGACCAAATTGGACAAAATCTATTCTTTGATGAATACTATTCACTACAGAGATGGCAAAACCACAGTGGTGTCTGAATTAGAAAGCAGTAGATTTTGTCTGTACACACACTTCTGTAGTGCATAAAGACTCAATATGTTTACACCTACATTTAATTAGCTGTCAATAGTGTTTCCCAACGTAAAATATTAACACAGAGAACAAGAATTACAAAACCTGGTAATTTCACTACACAGTAAACGTTTTCCCAGCTCTCCAAAGTATATGACTTCTTTGTTTTGTAAATATGTTTACAAGTATATCCAAGTCATACCAAATAGAAATGATTGTAGTATTTGATACTGGGATTGTCCTTTCTTGCATCTGGATTTATGCTTCATAATGATTATCTACTAGACACAGAAATAGTCTTTCTGTAACTCAAAATTATACTGGAGGCATTTAGAAGAACCTTGCTTTAAAATATAATGATTTTTCATCTTTATTCTCCCCCCTTCAAAAGGTTTCACTGCTCCTGATGTTTAACGTTATGCAAAGACGTGTTTCTGCCAATGAATATCGCCTTATGGTTATGCTTCTGCAAATAACCTGCTGTGAGCTGATAAAAGGATTAATGCAGCCAAAATTCTTAATCTGTGAAATTACAAATTAAATTCTCATATTAAAAATACCACCCTGAGGTATTTTTTGTGGGTTTAATTCCCCTCTGGTGTTCTGCATACATTGTGCTTGTTAATGACTAGGACAAGACTGTCTCTGTTGGCAGCCTGCTGCAGAGTGATAATGTGTAGGCATTTACTTCACTGATAGAACTGGATTTAACCACTGACTGATAAACTAAGTGGCAAGTGGGTAATAAGTCCATATTAACAGAAAAGTACTACTGCAGAATTCAGAATTCAAAATCCTGGCTAGACTAAATCACACAGTCAGAAGGACTGAGATGTCACCACTGCAGAGTGATTTTTGTTTTCCATTTAGTGGAAATAGGATAAATGAACTGGCATTCTTGATGTTCCATGAATCCTGAAGAAATGAATCTCTTTGCATCAGTTTCAGCAAAGGCAGACTTTCAACAGCAGCCTTAATTTACACTGAATCTTTTGAATTTTCTGCTTATCAAGTACCACAGTCAACAAACTGAGTGGTGGGTTAATATGGCAGAGGAGGAAACTGGGAATCTTTTCACAGTCTATGATAGTGATGGACAAAAATTAATGGTGCTAGTTTGATTTTAATATTCATATTCTACAAATGGGAGAGTCCTCTTCAGAGCAGAGCTGGAAGTAGGGTATGTGGACAACCAGGACACAAAACCAGCTCAAAATGTGACTACTACAGCTGCTGAGGATAGAAAAGACAAACTTCTGGAAGACCAAAGTTTTCATACTGACACTGATGTAAAGAGATTCTATTGTTGCTTAATATTTAGAAAGACAGCTCAGTTTTTACAAGCAAACTTTTAAATCAGCCATAGTTACACACACGTGTGCCATCATTGCACCTCTGAACCTGGAGTATTGCATTTAGATCTTTTGCTAATGGATGTATGTTTGAAAGCAGAAAAGAACGTGCACTGCTCTAATGCAAGCATGCATCTCTTCTCCATACTGAGTTAAAGCAAAATGCTGACTGTTATTCCCCTGTGAAACCTATTTTTAATAACAGAACCTTCTCTGAATCAAAAATATCCTGCATGATAGTATTTTTTTCTCCAGAATAAATAGGCGTGTGCATTTAACACCAGAAAATGACATGGACGCTTACAATGCAAATGATTCACAATTACTAAAGAGATAATTGACAACATATATGATGATAGGAACATTTCTGCCAAGTCAACTGGAATGCATTTTGTTAAATAAAAGGATGTACGTAAATACTGAAAGCATTCTTAGTTAAGAATATCATCTGCCATCCTCTTCATCCACAGCCTAATTCAGCAATTAACTGACTGTCTACTTTGTGTTTCTCAGACTTCCGAACGCCGAGTCCTTTCTTAAAGGTTACTGTTATAAGACATAGAGATTCTGTGACTCAAACACAGCTGGATTTTTATCCTGTGTGCTGCAGCTAGTTAAGAAGTACTGTATGCTACAAAGTGAAAAGCACTAAATATGCAAATTGTATTTTTCCTTTTGCTTTATGACAATTCAGAGAATTCTACTGGCTGCACACATAATCAAATACAAAGATAGCAGGCTGCAGACTGCAGAGCAGAGATAGCTAAAAAAGAAAAGAATCCATTTTGTCCTGTGTCAAGCTAACTATGTAATTTCAAGCTACACAATTGCAGTCACGTATTTTGTATGTGGCTGTGTGTGTCCATGAAGCTGTCTGCATGTGAGGGTTAACATACACACATGCATCTGTATGAACTAGCATCTTTGTTTTTAATCAATTTGAAGGTGGTTATACTCACTATCAGTTAATTCCCATAGCCGTGGGGGCAGATCACTGAAATACTCATGGCTCAGAGCTGCCTGTGCTGACAATCTGTTCTTTGGGAAACACTGGAGTAGTTTGGAGGCTAGATCTTCTGCGTGATTCACATAGCTCAGCCTGAAACACAAACAAGAAGGTTTTTCTGAAAAACAGTATCATCATTCTGTGTATCAATTCCATCTGCAGTCAGCACAGTTGAAACACCAAGTCTTACCAGCCAGGAGCACTACCAGGAAACCTATTCCTCAGGTTAGGGAGTTTATGAATTATTTCAGTATTGCTAGCTCAAAATTCAGAAAAATTTTACAACTACAGAACATATAATATACCATATCACATATGCCCTGCCTAGTATGCCAAAGGAGCAACAGCATTTTGAAAGCAACTATTTTGACTCTGCCATTTACATTTTATTGAGCATACTGACAGACTGAAAATTTACACTGCTGGAAACAAATGTTTATTACTATCTAAATGCATGAAATCCAAGCTTAAAACAACAGCAACATTCATACAACTTTGTGAAGTATCAGATTTGAAATCCAATTACACTTAACATTCAACATATGCGTCATGCTTCATAAAGACATTTGTCTTTTGGGAAGTACTAACTTCTTGTTCATATATTCACATGGCAGGGGGTTGACTCTTCATTAGGTGTTAAGCAATGCAAATATAAAATTGTAAGTGAATTATCTTTTATAAGCTACCTAGGGAAGTCTGAGAAGACGTATTGTTTTACTAGGAGCTATATTCTTGAGAGTATTATAAGAAAACATAATTTAAAAGTAATAGATTTAGAGGGGAGACAGTACAATGTGGTCTGGGTCTAGTAACCTATAGCTGCCTCCTAAATTTCCTAAGCAACTAAACTTACTGCAATATGCAGACAAAAAAGAGGTGCTGAATCTTGTCAACCTCATGCTGCTATTATTAGTAGGTAACTTCATAAATTCAACCATGCCTTTACTCAGTAAAAATCTCTCATTGGGTAAATGCTGAAGTGTATAAAAGATCTCTATTTTTCAATGCACTCGTTTCCCAAAACAGATAGTAGACTGCAGGCCAAAATACCACAATATTTGAAAAAAGTGATGTTATCCTCTAAAATCAATAATCCTACAGCACGTTCCATGCAAATGTTCATTTTTTTATCAGCTCAAGCTGGCTTTCCAGAAAACAAATTTGAGAAGAGGGAATAAACAGCATTACTCTTTTATTGGGCTGACATGGCATAATTTATATGGATAAGGGTCTGCATAGGTGAAAACTAGCTCTGCAACAAATAACAGACAACACTGAAAACACTAAAAATGGGGGGAAAAAAGTGTTATTACAGTGAAGTTTCAGTTACGAATGCCATAGAACAACTTTTTGCCCACGTCCACATTACAATCAGTGTGAAAAATAAAATGAATTAAAAGTCAAAAGCATCTCTACTAAATTATGTGCTGGCATATGTATGATATGCTGAAACTTGTAATCATTCAAAAAATATGCCATTGGCTGTCTTTTTAATTTCTAGCAACTCTGTGCTACACAGGAATTTGAATACTGTGCCTATCTGATCTCATCTTGAAAACTGGCAGGATATTTGTCCAGAAACTACCCAGGGATGAATTGCCCAGAAGTCATGACCACTTTAGGACATTACATCTCATCACTCATAATCTTACAGAATGCTCAGGATTAGGATTCAGAATTGCCATTTCATGTTAAACAGATGCTGAACTCCAGTGTTTCTGATGGGCATAATTTCTTCTGTTTTCATTTTCAGTTCATGACAAAATAAAAGCAATTTGAATGGAAGAGTCATTGCCTATACAATAGATTATAAATTAGATTAATTCCAGACTATTTAAACTACCGGATTGTAGAAACTGTTCATTAAACTTTTGTGAAAATTACAGATAAATTCATTATAAAACACAGCAAAAGACCATGAGAGAAGGTTATTCTTAACAAAGAAAAGGAAAAGGAGGGGTAAATATTCAGGGAGAATTAATATTAATTCTTCTGCACATTTGAAATTTGCACAGAATGGTGATTACCATTCAGTCTGTGAGGTCTGTCTTGAGTCCTAATCTACCCCGTGCCAAGTATTTGTTCAGAGATTCTGGCAAACCACTACACCAATTTAATTTTTTCCTCACAGAGTTAGCTGCATCCTTTTTAGGAACCATAGTAAGCTTGATCTGTCTTGAATGAGGTCACTTAACCAAGTAGTGAAATATTGCCCTCCAATATAAGAATTACACCATTTCTTAGCTGATCCATAGGTACAATGAAGATGCTAATTAAGTAAGGCAAAGCAAAACAAAAGAACATTCAAATACTAATGAATTCTGAGCTGTAGGTGAACTTATGGATGATGACACCGAGTTCTTTAAACAGAGCAGTGCTAATGTTTTTGACTGTATTAATGGTCACCAGTGTACCTGGCAGACTGCTAAGATTTTTTTTTAAGTAAGAAAATCAGATTAACTAATATAAATTGAAAGTATTTTGTGCAGGAACAGTTTAGGAAGCCAAAGTCACCTTCCCAGTTTAGACACAGACACGTGCTTACTGAAATCAATTGAGAAACCAAAGATAAGCGTCAAATAATCAGCAGATTATACATTAATATAATATAAATCAAACAAAAACATCTAGGGCTGCAACATAATCACATCAATTAAATAATTATTAGTAAATCAGTCACAATTAGAACTGATTTTATAGTTAATAAATAGAAAAAAGACTAAATTCATTGCACAGTCTACTATAATTATTAGATCTACTTGCCCTGATCCTACTCCAAGTAGTGCTGGGAGGTGTGGGGGATGGTGTTGTTTGTCAGTGCTTTGAAGAATCCAGTTGTGACATTTTTAGCATTATGTTTCCAAGCATTTATAGATTTTAATCTCAGACAGGACCATAATAATCAAGTCTCACCTCCTGTATAATACAGGCCAAAGAAGATCATCCAAGTAACTCATGGATCAAATCAGTACTTTCACCTATGCTCAGCTGTATCTTTAAAGTTCTGCAGCAAAGTTCTAACTTTGTTTACAGAGCTTTGCACAGCAATGAAAAAGTTATTCTGTAGAACTCACACCTTCTGTGAAGGTCACTTCTAGAAATCAGTGGACACTGCAGAAAGGCATATGCATGTGGGCTCCTAGGGCTGTCAGTATTAAAACTGATGCTTTAGTGGAATGCATGACCAATTTTGCTGCTTTGTTTAAAGACAAGCTATTCTTTTACTTATGAAAAATGCACTGTATGATCATGTGTTTAGATTACGTCTGCTACATAAGAATTGTTTAGAAAACCCCATTTAGTGCATAACCTCAGTGCTATGGAACATCTGAACGTTTGCTTTTGTTTCTTTCCTTTTTTTTTTTTTTTTGCCAATAGTCTCTTTAAAATATCCTCCTTAAAACATTACCAATTTGTCTGATTTAAGTTTGAAACATGATCCTCAATAGGGACAAAGGCTAAATTTTCTGATGGGGTTCAGTAGTTAAATACCTAATACAGAAAAGTTAACAAAAAGGACTAAAGAAGAAAAGATTTGATTTTTAAATACACCTCCTTCAGTACGAGACAGGATGGAATTTCATACAATATGGCTTTGTGTCTAAAACATAATAGCATGTTTTGTCTCACAGCAGTTGGGCCATATAGGAACTTGGCATGCATGATATGGCAAGTCTCAATATTCACGCTTCACTTACTGTCACACTAATCACTGAGGAATAGTTACTAGCCATGACAGCATACATACTTTCAGAAAATGTGGTATACAGCAGAATACAGAGAAACCTTTGGCAATGAGCAGTAAATAATATGTAGGTATTGCACATATACTGGGAATATTTTTACATACTTACTCTGATGACATTTGTGAGACACATAGATTTTCAATTTAAGCCCAACCACTCTATACAGCCTTAGCTCAAGAAAAACAAACACCATATGAACCTGCCTCACTTGAAACATATACGAATCTGACTAGACTTGAGCAGTTGTAAATCTCATTGGATTACAAGAATTTGATTTAATTTCAGAAAACAGGCTTAAATGTCTTTCTACTGCAGAGGAAGGTCAGTATTTGGTCAAGCAGAACATGACTAAGATCACTGAAGTTTGGTTTAAGCTCTTGAGGAAAAAAAAAGTTTGGGGCATGTGCAGTGAACTTCTGAACTTGGGGTGATTTGCTTTTAAATGCAATGAAGAAGGCAGCTCAAATTCACATTAATAATTAAGACGAATGGGCATTGAAACAAATGGAGATAATATGCTGTCTATATGCTCCCAACAGCATGAGGTAAATACTACCCAAAGCAAAAATCGTTTACTGTGCATATTTTCAATGTGAAGATATGACTCTTGCAGCGTATCATTAATTCATTTCTCAACTGGCATTTATAGCATGGCCTAGAGGAGTGAGGCACCTAATTCCCCTTGGAAATCTCAGCTCTGCTGCATTATTCTAAGCAACCTCTTGCAACCTGAAATGCCAAAAGACAAAACCACAGTTAACCTGAACAATCACGCCATTTAGCAAAGTTTACAGTTTAATAATATGAAGAGAAAAAACCAAATTGGTGTTTAACAGGCAGATCATGTGGTAACCCTCAGCTCATTTCACAGAGGATGCTGTGGTCCCCTCAACAACAGGGCTCCTGCACAGTCCCTGTGGCACCTCACCTCCCATCGCACTGCCACGATGGTTGTATTCCCTGTTTTCACCCAAGTCTACTCGAGGACCACAATCTTTCCTTCTTGTTCGAGGCTTTAGCCTCTCTTGAGTCCTGGCACAAAGCTGTATGCCACCGTATAGAGTATTTAACGCTTTCTTTGCAAATTCATTGTCTTTTGACCAGATGATACAGACATGCCCTCACATGTCTTGATAGTTTGTACCTCTGAATACACACACGACCCTACTAGCAGCGGCGACACAGCACATGAATCGGAGCAGGGCCTACCTTATGTAGCATTTCCTTTTTACAAAACACCAACAGCCTTTTCTGTTGTTACAGCCATGCCGAGAACACCTACCGTCTTCAAAGACCTGACGTGCCAGCTCCAGCATGCAGGAGCTGCTTCCCTAACATGCCTGGTGT